GTTATAGGTCCTGTAGACATTTAGGATAGAGAGTCGTGTCCTCTGTGACTTCACTCGTCAAACACATGCCACTCACGACCAGATGTTCTCACGCGACGGAAACAAAGAGACAAAGGTTAAGCTAGTATTTATAGAGTATACCATTTCCGACTATGGCATTATAATCGCACATTACCTACGAGATGTGCTACGAATGAATTGTAACCATAGTTCCTTTTTTCTATTATGGTAGATAATGACACCAAAGATACGCGAACCATATGTAGGGCCCGGACCCAGAAGGGGAAGAAGAGAGGAAGTTCAGGACACCTTGATTCCAACACCTGAAGAGGAACAACCTGAATTTAAGGAGGAGGTTGGGGATACGCCCAAACTAGCGAGGGGACAGTACCACAACCATCAAGAACAAAAAGACGCCGAAGGAAGGCCAAGGCCCGAAGGCTGCTTGATACACCCCCTACTGCTCCCTTCTCCGATGAGGTCCCATCAGGTCCAACCCTGTGTACAGCATCTGCTAAACCAGTCATTAGCCATGCCCACAGTAGAGATGTTTCAGACGTTCATGATGACCTCGATAGAAAATCAAGCTCTGACGAACCAAATGATACAAACCATGATGGCTAATCAGTCAACAGGGCAAGGGGGCAATGATTTAGGGACTATGACTGTGGAGTCCCGCTACTTAAGAGATTTCTAGAGGCATAAACCGCCTTCCTTTGATGAAGGCAAGGTGGATCCCATTACCGCTGAGAATTGGCTGGAGGCCAAGAAACGACCTTCTATTTTATGAACTGCCCACCAAAGTATGAAGTCCACTGCGGGGCGTATATGCTGAAAGGAGAGGCGCACTTCTGGTGGAAGGGTGCTCAGAAGACCATTATACCATAAGGAGAGTTTATTACATGGTGTCAGTTTAAAGATGCGTATCTCCACAAATATTACCCAATCACTGCCAGAGTGAAAATGCAGACAGCATTCCTCACACTGAAACATGGAGACAGATCATTGGAGGAATATGACTTGGAGTTCTATAGGCTGGCAAGGTTTTCTCGAGCCTATGTTAGTTCTGAGGAGTTGAAGGGCGAACAATTTATCGTTGGTCTGAGAGAGGAACTAAGGGGGAATGTGGCATCCCAATCATTCTTCGTCTATGCGAAAGCCCTTCAAGTGGTGACCCTGCTCGACTTGTCTCACACCGACAAGCTGCAGTTGGGAATAGCTCAATCATCCCACACTGCAGCCCAGGGAAAGGTGATAGACCCTAGCCACCTTAGAATTGGTAGACCGCCCCGTGGCTGCACTGATAAACGAAGAAGGGCCTCGGTATGGAACATGACCCTTTGTCTTAACTGTCGGCGTCCTCACACGGGGGAATGTACAGCAGGAACAGCCGCTTGCTACAGATGCGGCCAGTAGGGCACTTTGTAGTGGATTGCCCTCAGAGGAATGATCAGCGTGTCAACTGGCCTGCAGTACAGCATTAGAGGGGCCAAGCTGCTCAACATTATCAGAGGCGAGCTGTAGCCGATGCAACAACAGCTAGTCAAGCTGACAAGCCTGACGCAGTTGTCACAGGTACGCTACCCGTATTTGGCCATCTTGCTTTAGTATTGTTTGATTCTGGTTTGACACATTCATTTGTATCTGAAGAGTTTGTAGAGCTAGCACACCTAGAGAAAGAACTTTTAGAGATTACCCTATCAATGTCTACCCCTGCTCACGAGCTGTTGCTAGCTACCCATAGGGTTAAGGGAGGTGGTGTAACAATATCAGGGCGTGTCATCGAAGCTACAGTGATAGTGTTAAGCATGAAAGACTTCGATGTCATCTTGGTTATGGATTGGCTAGGCGAGAATCGCGTTTTGATAGATTGGGGGACTCGAATAGTGACTCTCAAGCTCCCGTCAGGGGACAACTTTACCTACAAGGGAGCCACTTCCAAGGGTGCCCCAAGCGTCATAACATCGTTAAGGGCTAATAAGCTGATTCGTAGTGGTGCAAGTACATTTCTAGCCAGCATGACCTTAGACATTAGTAACAAACAAATAAACTTATCGGTACATTTGTCAAGAAGAAGGACGGGTCCATGCGGTTGTGTATTGATTACAGGGAATTAAACAAGGTCACTATAAAGAATAAGTACCCTCTCCCGAGAATTGACGACTTGTTTGATCAGCTACAGGGAGCAACAGTCTTCTCCAAAATTGACCTAAGGTCGGGGTATCATCAGTTGAGGGTCAGAGAAGGGGATATACCCAAGACAGCTTTTAGAAGTCGTTATGGACATTACGAGTTTCTCATTATGTCCTCTGGCCTTACCAACGCACCAACAGTTTTCATGGAACTAATGAACAGGGTGTTTAAGGAATTCTTTGACATCTTTGTCATAGTGTTCATCGACAACATTCTGGTATACTCTAAGTCAGAGGCAGATCATGAAAAACACCTAAGAAAAGTCTTGACAATATTGAGAGCCCAGCAATTGTATGCCAAGTTCTCTAAGTGCGAGTTTTGGTTGTCCGAAGTAGCATTTCTGGGTCACGTGGTATCAAGCAAGGGGATTACAGTGGACCCAGCTAAGATAGAAGCAGTGATGAGGTAGCCAAAGCCGACTACAGTCACAGAGGTGAGGAGTTTTCTGGGGCTAGCTGGATATTATAGAAGATTTGTCCTGGATTTCTCCAAAATTTCCTCAGCGCTAACTCAGCTAACCAAGAAGGGCAAGTCCTTTGCTTGGACTCCAGCTTGCGAACAGAGTTTCCAGAAACTCAAGAAGAGATTGGTAACCGCACCAGTTCTTACAGTTCCAAACGGGTCAGGTAATCTCGTGGTGTACAGTGATGCATCAGGGAAAGGCTTGAGGTGTGTGCTCATGCAGAAGGGTAAGGTGATAGCGTATGCTTCTCGACAACTGAAGGAATATGAACGAAATTACCCAACGCATGACCTCGAGTTAGCAGCAGTAGTGTTTGCTCTAAAAACGTGGCGGCACTACCTGTATGAGGAAAAAGTACAAGTTTTCACCGATCATAAGAGCCTCAAGTACTTATTCACGCAGAAGGAGCTCAATATGAGACAAAGGCGATGGTTGGAACTGGTAAAGTATTATGACATAGAGATCCTGTACCATCTAGGTAAAGCCAACGTGATAGCTGATGCATTAAGTAGGAAGGTCGTGCATACTTCTGCGATGATCACCAAATAGGAAAGACTACAAGATGAGATGAAGAGGGCTAGGATAGATGTGGTGGTTAAAGGTGGTAATGTTCAGATGACACAGTTAACCATAAAGCCCATCCTACAAAAGAAAATTATCGACTCTCAAAGGTCTGATGAACACCTCAGTAAAGTGTGGAGTCAGATTGAGATAGAGAGGCCAGTAAGGTATTCTATCTTCTCAGACGGGGGTCTGCTATGGCAAAACCGCCTGTGCATTTCCCGAGACGAGGGAATCTTAAAAGATATTATGACCGAAGCCCATGATACATCGTATGTGTTCCACCCTGGAAGTACGAGGATGTATTAGGATCTAAAAAGATATTATTAGTGGTCCAGAATGAAGTGGGACATAGCGAATTTCGTAAGCCGTTGCTTGACCTGCCAGCAGGTGAAGGCCCCAAGGCAGCGCCCAGCAGGATTGCTATAGCCCCTGAACATTCCTTAGTGGAAATGGGAAGCAGTCTGTATGGATTTCATCTCGGGCTTGCCAAAGACAAAGCAGTGTTTCAACGTCATCTGGGTAGTTGTAGACAGATTGACTAAGACGGCCCACTTCATTCCAGGAAAGTCCACATATCGAGTGGATCGGTGGGCTCAGTTATATATTAAGGAGATAGTACGCCTGCACGGAGTACCAGTGTCCATAGTATCAGACTGGGACACCAGGTTCACCTCTCAGTTCTGGAAAAATCTTCAGAAGGCACTAGAAACTCAGTTGAGGTTCAGTACAGCATTCCATCCTCAAACGGACGAACAGACCGAAAGGCTGAACCAGGTTTTAGAGGACATGTTGCGAGCTTGCTCCTTAGATTTCTCTGGGTGCTGGGACGAATATTTGCCTCTAAGGGAGTTTTCCTACAACAATAGTTATCAAGCGACCATCCAGATGGCACCCTTTGAGGCACTGTATGGGCGTAGGTGTCGAACACCAGTGTTTTGGAAAGAGGTAGGCATGCAGCAACTACTGGGACCAGAGTTGGTCCATGTCACCAACGCAGCGGTGCAGAAAATCAAGCAGAGGATACTCACCACACAGAGCCAACAGAAAAGCTACGCAGATGTGGGTAGAAGGGACCTCGAATTTGAAGTGGGTGCCATGTGTTTCTAAAGGTAGCCCTTATGAGGGGGTGTTGAGGTTGTTTGGAAAGAAGAGGAAATTGAGCCCAAGGTTCATAGGCCCCTTCGAGATTCTAGAAAGAGTTGGGGCTGTGGCTTACAGAATTGCCCTGCCACCAAACCTTGCCGCCGTGCACAATGTGTTCCATGTATCTATGCTGCAAAAGTACACTCTAGATCTTACTCATGTAATCGAGCATGAGATGCTTCCCCTTCGAGAAGATATGTCTTATGAGGAGAAGCCTAGCAGAATTTTGGCTCGAGACACTAGGCGATTGCGCAACAAAGATATTTCCTTGGTAAAGATCTCATGGGGTAACCGCCGTGAGGAAGAGGCAACCTGGGAACGAGAAGAGGGCCTGAGGAAAGCTTATCCCAAACTCTTCCAAGAGATAGCTACTTTCAAGGACGAAAGTTCCTAAGGAGGGGAGAGTTGTAACGCAAAAAAAAAGGGGGGGGGGGGCTAAGTCAACTGAGGGGCAAAAATGTCATTTTGCCCCTCCAGCCCTAATAAGGGTCCAAGGAGAACCCCGTCACATCCCCTGCAAAAGAAAAAAGGAGTTAGAGAGAAGTTGGAGAGGAGTCAGCCGTGAAGATTATCGGACCATCGTCAGAATCTACCTTCAGACGAGACTTGTACAAGGACTGAGAGGTTAGCGAAGCTGACGCTCCGTCAAGATCCAAGAACGTTTCGCGAGGTAATGTTTTGAACGACATTTCTCAAATCTGAGTTTTTCCTATGTGAATCGTTCCTAAAATGCTGAAATATTCACCTAGGAACAACTCTACGCACGGTCTGTGAAGAAGTTTGGCCGAGATCTCAACCCAAAGGCAGAGATCCGAGAATCGTCCAAGAATGGTGAGCGAACTTTCGACGCTCTTAACTCGTCCGATAATCAAGAAAAAAATTACAAAAAAAAATACTAGGACGTAGCCTGTAACATGATCTAGAACTTTGCCGAAGAAATCATGTCGATCCGATCTACGGATCGAAAAATATGAAAATCGAAAAAGGAGATTGTGTTACGAATTTCAAAGGACAGAGAAGATGGAAGAAAAAATAGAATAAAAAGGTCGGCCGGTGTGCGGCGGAGGGCGGCGACAGGCACCGGACACGCATCGACCGTTGGCTGAAGCAACGCAGCTCCAGCGAGGCGACGACACGTGTCGCCTGCAAAGCCGAGCCGCACCGCAAACGCGAGCTAAGCCAAGCTGAACCAGACTGACCGACCCGTGACTGCGCAGAAGCTGGCGCGCGTGGTAGGCACGCGTGCGGCCTGCGACTGGCGCATTCCCGCGCGCGTGGCCCTCGCACTCCCAGTGCACTACTGGCGCATGAAACGGCCGTTTTGGCCCGGTTGCTCTCTGTTTGTCCGATATTTGTCCCAGTTTTAGTTCTAATACTGTTTTTACGTGAATAGGGACCTAATGTAAAGATATTAGTATTTTTGGACACCTCACGGGCAAAGAAACGCTAGCAAAAAGACACGCGTCAACCAGGTAAGTCACCACCTGGTATTTAGGAAGAAATACTTGTAGGATTCGCTTGGATTGCATGCATGCTAGTAATTTCGCTTCGGATTAGCTCTCCATGTAAATTATTAGTCAGATTAATTGTTATGATTGTATTGGGTGAATTACATCAGTGTTGCTATATGCTTTAAGCTTCCGCCTTATGTATGCATGCGTTTAATTTATGTTAGAATTGTGTATTCCGCATTCCGGGTGCTTGATGGATGAATTCGCCCCATTGAGCGCGAACTTCGTGCTCTGGGTGCTTGATGGAGGTCATTGCCCCGTTGAGCCGGTATGCCTAGTTTGCATGAATTACATACGATGATGTTAGAAGATGGTTGCATTCACACTCTGTTACTTGGTAGGGCCCATTTCTATGATAAGCTTAGGGGATTACTGTGAGGAGCGATATGTCGCTCTAGACAGACTTAATTTTCCCCTAGGAACTTAGCGGTTTACTACGACAACAAGGTACCTCAAGAGTGTTCAAAGATTGCTAGTGTGAGAACGGTATTTATAGCTTCGTGGGAGGACCAAAGATCCCTAATCAGTCCTTACTGCTCTTAGCCATTTCGTATGGGAAATGTGTTCCCACGTCGTACAACCCATTAGCTGCATGGGAACGGGTTGGGTCGCGCCCCCTATAGGGGGACTATATGGGCGTAGGGGTATTCAGCACACCCTTACGCTAGATACCATGTAGTCCTAGACAGCCGTGTAGAGGTAGCACCTCATAGAGAGATACCGACCATATTAGCTTGGTGTAAGGAACCTCTAGGCATTTATTGAAAGGACGACGAACCGGTGAAACCCAAAGGGCAAGTTCTAAGGGACTAAGATTAGAACCAAATGTTCTAGAACCGAATTAGAAAACTGTGGGGACCTGTTAAATTAAGATGCGAAGAGAGCCTACAAGTAGGTGGCTTACTAAGTATAATTTTTATACTCATCCTTGCTATGTTTTCCTTTTTTCAGGAGCGCGAGGCATCGGTCAAGGGCGGGCATGATGGAGACGGAGATTGTAACAGAGGAACGGGTTGTCCCGTGGCATCAGTCGAGTCTTTATTTTGTGTTTGCATACTTTCGAAATTTATTTCCAAACTATCATGTGTTTTGTTGTTTGTCGTCCAAAAACTTTATTGGAATTTAAGGATTTTCTTTATTTCATATTCAAATCACTTTGTGCATTTGTGTCTTGTCATAAGTCACGGTCCGTAGTAAAATACTGGGTCGTGACAGTCAATTTATGCATTGTAACGACCCGAAATTTTCTACTTAATTTAAGGTTGCTTCTGTATACGTACCATAAACATTGAATGCAGAAGATTTCATTAAAATTCCATAAAACATAACCTTTATCTTAAAACACAGCCATGGACTTGCGTGTTTCAAAAACATCTTTAAAACGACACAACAAAATACTAAATAAAATGAATAAGAGTTGAAGTTAAAAACATTCTATTCTAGCCTAAGTCTAAGAAAATAAATACCACTACCCTATGCATGTGCTATGGTCTCAAGTTGCAATGTCGTTGTCAGTCGTACAGGAATGCCTTGCCTTAACCTGAAAAATGTGGTAGCACATGACTTGAGTATTTAAAGAATTATTCAGTAAGTGACCCCACTATTGGGGTTAAATGCAACAATCACATGCAATGAGATGATCGGACCTATCTTTTATTCCGTTTTCCCTACGGTGCTGTCCTAACGGATAATTTTGGACGTGTACCATATACTCTACACACAGCCCATACGTGCGAGTATGGGCTCACCAGCTAGTTCGCACACCGCTGGGCCACCTTTCTTATTCGGTGGGCATACTCTAGGAGCCCCTTAGGCCGGACACCCGCTAGAATTAGTAACTGTCACGACAGAGCTATACAAAGCATAACGATTGTTGTCCTACCCTTGGATGTACGCGTCCGTACCCTCGTGATGGGATAGGGGTATCCCCCAAATGCATGAGCACACATAATGCATGAGGTACCAAAACTTTTCCATTTTCATTATCCTTTAATACAACCCCGCTAGCATTATGTACATATCATATCATTTTTCATATCATTTCAGATATCGTTCATCATTCATGTCATATCGTTTCTCATTCTTCAGTTCTCAAATCATACATAATTCTAATGGGGTTATACTTCATGCCATTTATCGTAATTTTATGTCATTCATATCATTCTGTATACACACAATTTAATAGACCTAACATAACGTTCTAATCTTTTAACATAACATTTCATCATATACACATCATACCATGACATATTGCATCACAATGTATCATATCATAAACGAGTCATAACGTAAACACTTCATAGTCATATCGTTCTCTAACTTATCATAGTCTTAACGTTCATATACCTATCACAGACATATCATTACGTGAACGTACCTTAGTCATCTCATCACAAGAACTTAACCTAACACTATCGTTCTATCAATCCTAACTCTATCGTTCTATCAATCTATCACAAACCTATCCCTTTCTACCCGTAGCCTAACCGTATTCTTCCATCAATCTCTCTTATCCATATCACTTTGGTATGTAAACTAACCTTAACGTTTAATGAACGTACTTTACTCCTATCGTTACATTTCGTTTTGTGCATCCTTCTTGTATCCTATCTCAAACATATTCTTGAACACATCGTACCGTAATTATTATCATACAATTCACATATTATAACATATACATAACACATAGGAAGCATATCGATCCACAAACAATTCACACATATCAATATATATGACATGTGCAAAACCACAGGGCACATGTCAACATCAAATATAACCATGCCGATAGTAAGGTCACTTACCTAGTTAGCTTAGGCTGATGTTCCGTCGTTATCCTTAATGAAAGTCCATTGAAATCCAAGTCAACCTATGAGAGCCCATGACATTAGTTTCAAGTTTGAACTCTATAAAATTATTTTTCTAATTTACGATGGTCATTGTTAAATTCTGATATTTGTTAGACGAAATTGAATGGAGTTCCTTACCCTCTATATTTACTGTTTTATTTTTTAAATTCTGTTCAAAATCTTTCCTTAATCTTCCCTCTTTCTCTGTGATTGAGATATTATTGGCTAATTTTGTTAATCTATTTTGATTTCTTTTTTTATTTCCTTTCTTTCTTTTCGGTTAACATTATTCTTGATTTCCATATTCTCGATTTCCATCTCTATTTAGTATTTTTTCTTATTTCCTTTGTCTCCTCCCTGATTTAGTTAACAATTATATTCTTAGCTTCTAATTTAATCGATTCATTGGGTTATATTCTTTTTCTATAATTTATATAAAATTATTGACAACCTCAATCATTTCAACAATTCAAAAGATCTAAAATATAATTGGTTGTGATTTCCTAAACTCGTACAAAATTCTTTACATTTAATCTCTAATTCAAAACTAAATAATGGTAACTAAATTAATTTTACTTAATAAAATAAAAGAAAGATTTAACATACAACTATTGACCTCTTCAAATGACATATCTCCTCGGCGGAACTAAATCGGCTTCAACCTTGTTTTTTTTTTTTTAATTTGTTTTTGTAGGAAGGAAGAAATTGTGTTATAGGTAAATCTGCAGTTGTTTTCTATTCATTTGTAGGGGAGTGGTGAGAGATTGAAGGAAGGAGGAGGGATGGGTTACCAAATATTTTTTTTAAAAATATTTTTATTATTTATTTATTTATTTATTTATTATTATTATTATTATTATTATTATTATTACTACTACTATTTTATTTTATTTTTTGCGGTTGTTACGTGCATGAACCAAGAATTGGGAGGCAGCTCTTCGAGTTCTGAGATACATCAAACGTACTCCTGGTCAAGGACTTCTACTACCATATGTAAATAACTTGAGATTACAAGCATATTGCGATTAAGACTGGGGTGGTTGTCGAACTTTCAGATGGTCTATTTCTGGGTTCTGCATTTTCCTTGGAAATTCAATTATTTCTTGGAAGTCTAAAAAAACAAACCAATGTGTCCAGATCATCAGCAGAAGCTGAGTATCGAGCTATGACAAATACTTGTTTAGAGTTAACTTGGTTAAGATACATCCTCCAAGACTTGAAAGTTTCACTGTCTGAACCAGCATTATTGTATTGTGATAATCAAGCAACATTACATATAGTAACCAATCCAGTTTTTCACGAACGTACGAAACAATATTGAAATAGATTGTCATATAGTTCGAGAAAAATTACAAGCTGGAATCATCAATCCGTGTTATGTTTCAACTAAAATGCAATTGGCATATATTTTCACTAAAGCTTTGGGAAGACATCAATTTGATTTTTTGAAAGACAAGTTGGGTGTGATTGACATACACTCTCGAACTTGAGAGGGAGATTATTGAGATATAATATTTAGAGTATATATTATTTATGGAATATATTTTAGATATTATATCCTAATATTTTTTATTTAGGATTTGATTTACAGTATATTTTATTTTATTCTCAATATTTAATTATTTTATATTTTCCTTATTTGTACCCATTAGTTGCTAGCGTATATCCTATTTAAGGATATGAATATCAATGAGAATACACACCTTCCCAATTCTATTTCTATTTCTCATTTTTAACACATTGACATCAAAGTTAAAATGAAGAAGTTATATAGTCGAAACAAAATGAAATAGAAAATAATCGATGTGATGACGTGACAACTGAATTGATATTATGGACGAATCAAATTACGAAACTTTAAACTTTGGAAGAGTAACAATGAGTAGAGTTTTGATTACTTTTAAGAAAGGAAAGAAAATTAATTATATAATTTATTATTGAAAATTTTAAAAAAAAAATCTACCATTATGTAGTTACATTTGAAAAAAAAATCTATAGCCGCCTCAATGGGTTGTCAATCAAGAAATTGATTTTTAGAGTGGACTTGCTAGGAGAAAGAGTTGCCC